AGACCTAGCAATATAATGAGAAAAAATATCTGTGTAATAGTGGAATACCAGAGCAAGACTGGGTGATAAGTCAGAGTCAGAGATTTAATGAGGCAAATAAAAAGGAAATAAAAATACTGCCTGCATGTGAGCTGTATGTCCATTGGGATTATTATGGTCCTTTATGTGGCACAATTACTTCTAATTGGTTCCCAGGCTGCCTAAAAAAAACTGACCACAGGGAAACTGATTAGGCTTGATATGTAAAAAAAAAAATATTTTTAATCTCCGTGTTGGAAACAATTAACCACACAGAAACCATACATTTTGCTACTTTTATATAGACAGATTTTGATTGTTTCACATTTGTCCCACCCATAACAATTTTGCCACTAATAAAGTAAACATAATATAACTAATAATATATAAATAAATAAAAAAGTCTGACTGCCAATAGTAAGAAAACTTTTTTTAGTGTTTGGTTTCAGATATTTATTTAGGCTATTTTCAATTCTAATAAAATAATCTAGTGACTAATAATTAACTGAAAAATAAACTGTTGATGCCACTTTTGTTCTAATAATCAATCACCAGTATAAACCCGTGTTTTATTATTGACAAGCATAGAGCCAAGGCAACATAACAGGTTACGTGACCTCTGGAACGGGGTCAGATTTATTGTAGCAACCAATCATAGCAACGCAGAGAGTCCATGACGACGATGGTCGCGAGATCGTGGATCATGTGTTGGAATGCGACAGTGTTTAAGAACTTCACACGGATCAAATAGTTGAAAGCTCGCGCTGTCCTGAGCGATAAGCATGGGATGTGGGATCTCCAAAATCACGGTGGTCGAACCCGTAAAACCAAGAGGTCTGAACGGAAATGAGGTAAGCTGTAATCTTTTTGTTATTCGATTTCAAATATGAATTAATAAACGGAATATTAGCGAGTCGGTAGTGGTTATAGTATGTTGAAACATATGAGGAAACTGATGAAGAGATCTGTTGTTCTCACAACTGTGATATTTAATAGTCTATATTAGGAGAATTAGATGAATAATTAAACAAAATGAAATGCTTAAACCAGGGGTGCCCAACCCTGCTCCTGGCGATCGATTGTCCTGCAAAGTTCAACTCCAACCCTAATCAAACACACCTGAAGCAACTAATTAGGGACTTCAGCATCACTTAAAAATTAAAGGCAGGTGTCTTTGATTAGGGTTGGAGCTAAACTTTGCAGGACAGTCGATCGCCAGGAGCAGGGTTGGGCACCCCTGGCTTAAACCAACCAAAGCTGCTTTGCTGGTCTTAGCTGATTTGAACTGGTTTCCCAGTCTCAAATCCCTTTAAAACCAGCCAACAGACCTTACAAGACCAGCAAACAATTTAGGCTGTCAGTGTTTTGTTACATGCAGACTTATAGCTGACTTTGCTTTTATTTAGTAGACTGAAACTCTGGAGTTTGTTGTACAGGGAGGCTCTCGAGGTGACTCTGCCGTGTCCAAAATGACCACAGACAGCGGGGTCAGTCTGGATGCAGCGGAGCCAACAGTTCTACCTGGATCTGTACCTAGAATGCTGCCACCACTACAAGGTTAGATAGGACAACTTGATGTTATTTCACTTTAAAGGAGCTAACATCTGCTGGCCAGCTTTGAGGCCTTTCAGAGATATAGGAAAGCTGAAATGGAATAACAATATAAAATAGAATGTAGGAAATTAACTTAGTATATTCATTATTTTGACCTACACATTGTGTGAAATCTAGCCCAGAGTCCTGGACTGGCCCAGCAAAGTGAAGAGAGGCCCGAGTCCAGTGAGATCCTGGAGCAGCTGCTTGTTCAGGGAATCATTCCAGCTCAACCAAGACAGGGAGGAAGTGGGGAAGCCTACAACATCACGGTGAGGGCTGTTGTCAATGTTAAAATATAAAAGTGTTATGATTTCTCAAATATTGCCTTTTCTCACATTAAAAATCAACACTCCAAGAAAAGGAATTGTACATATTGATTGTTCATAGACGGTTCACCTGTATTTTCAATTACACATTGCGTTGTGTTGTGGAAATGTCCAAAATTGAGTTCTTATACAGTGAATAAGAATTTCATACATGCCTGTATTCATTACTAGAATAGTCTTTATTATTATAAGACTCGAATATTTTTGTGTAATGAGCTCTAAACTGTATATATGACTGTTGTCCCAATCTCTTGTACTAGTTCCATGTCTTATTTTTCTCACATAATAAAATAATTTATTTTTAAAAATACATTTTATTAAATAAAAATAACTGAATAAAAAAAAAGCAAAGAATAAAAATAACTTAATAATAAAAAAGCACCATATTAAATTTTTGGCAGGAATGAAGATGAGGCTGTACAGTGCTTTCAGTGGATTGTACTCTTGTTTATCAACATACTGATTGTTCAGTCTTTCTGAAAAAAAAGAAAATGAAAATGACATGATCTAGGATGTTCATGCAGTGTATGCCACTAAGAACTAGGTCTATTCCTCACAGCCTCATTCAATTCAATATGGCGTCTAACCTGCTTAAGGTCTATATACACTACCAGTCAAAAGTTTTTGAACGGTAAGATTTTTAATGCTTTTTAAAGGAGTCTCTTCTGCTCACCAAGCCTGCATTTATTTGATCCAAAGTACAGCAAAAACAGTAAAGTTTTGAAATATTTTTACTATTCAAAATAACTGTTTTCTATTCGAATATATTTTAGTGTAATTTATTCCCGTGATTTCAAATCTGAATTTTTAGCATCATTACTCCAGTCACACGATCCTTCAGAAATCATTCTGATTTGCTGCTCAAAAAACATTTGTTATTATTATTATTATTATTATGGTTAAAAACAGCTGAGTATAATTTTTTTCAGGTTTCTTTGATGAATAGAAAGAAGAACAGCACTTATCTAAAATATAAATCTTTAGTAACATTATAAATGTCTTCACATTATAAGTGTCATCACTTTCGATCAATTTAAAGCATCCTTGCTAAAAAGTATTAATTCCTATAACCCCCTCCTCCCAAGAAAAATATTATACTGACTCCAAGCTTTTGAATGGTATAGCGTATAATGTTACAAAAAATCTTTGGATCTGTCTATTCATCAAAGAATCCTGAAAAAATTGTACTCAACTGTTTTAAATATTGATGATGATGATGATAATAATAATAAATGTTTCTTGAGCAGCAAATCAGCATATTAGAATGATTTATGAAGGATCATGTGACACTGAAGACTGAAGTAATGATGCTGAAAATTTAGACTTGATCACAAGAATAAATTACATTTTAAAATCTATTAAAATTAAAAAGTTATTTTAAATAGTAAACATATTTTGCAATATTACTGTTTTTGCTGTATTTTGGATCAAATAACTGCAGGCTTGGAAGAGACTTCTTAAAAAAACATGAAGAATCTTACTGTTCAAAAACTTTTTACTAGTAGTGTATAATGTAGGCTATATTTATTTACTTATTTAGTAAGTTGCATTGCAATATGTGTGATCATATGTTTGGCCAATAATAATTCCAAAATAAACCCCTTGATACAAGACTTACTCATATTTTGTTGGGGTCCTGATCACACTTTTTGGTGTTTACTTAGTCTTTAATCCACTCAAACGTTCAGTTGACTATTCTTTGAAAAGTATCTGTAACTTAACTTTCATATTGTGTGTGTGTGTGTATACGTGATCATTTCTGTTCCTCTGGGACAAACATTTATAATGTCTGTTAGATGGATGATGCTGAGAAGCCAAAGAGTAGACCTCCTGCTCGGCTAGAGTCACTGAAAATTCACAAAGAACAAGAAGTCACCAGAAAGGAAGACATTGAGATGAAGATGAGACAGGTGGAGGAGAGGAGAAAGGTGAAGCAGAACCAAATGACATTGATCATTCATTCAGTTTTAATGCATTTCAAATCTCTTAATTAAAAAAATCTTATTTGATGGAGTTTTTGCACTTTTTTTTGTGCAGTTAGATTGAATTAGCATTAGTATTTTATATGAAATATGGTTAAAACATCTGTTTTAGGAGAAGGAGGAAGACCTGAAACGCAGGTTGAGGATTAAATCAGCACGGCCGAGTTTCGCTGCCCCAGTGACCGCAGACGGGGAACTCGACCCCTTGGAACTGCTCCATTCCGAACAGCTTCCTGTCCCAACCAGAACCAAACAGCTGCAATCAATGGAGCCAGTCAATGGAGAGTCTGAGGACCAAAGACTTAATGATTCCCCAGAACTGGAAAATGACTCCACCTTCCAACAGACTGAAGACACAGATGAGGGATTTTAAACCTGCTGCTTATGTGTGTTTCAGAATGACACATGCAGGATAACCTGCCTCCATACATACAGAAGCAGCTTGATCTAGTGATGTTTCCTAATGTACATTCTTAGAGTTGCACATGCACTTTACATGTTATTCACTTGATTAATCTTGTTTATTTTAATGCAGGGTATGGCTCAGATCAAATAATAATAAATGTTTCTTGAGCAGCAAATCAGCATATTAGAATGATTTATGAAGGATCATGTGACACTGAAGACTGAAGTAATGATGCTGAAAATTTAGACTTGATCACAAGAATAAATTACATTTTAAAATCTATTAAAATTAAAAAGTTATTTTAAATAGTAAACATATTTTGCAATATTACTGTTTTTGCTGTATTTTGGATCAAATAACTGCAGGCTTGGAAGAGACTTCTTAAAAAAACATGAAGAATCTTACTGTTCAAAAACTTTTTACTAGTAGTGTATAATGTAGGCTATATTTATTTACTTATTTAGTAAGTTGCATTGCAATATGTGTGATCATATGTTTGGCCAATAATAATTCCAAAATAAACCCCTTGATACAAGACTTACTCATATTTTGTTGGGGTCCTGATCACACTTTTTGGTGTTTACTTAGTCTTTAATCCACTCAAACGTTCAGTTGACTATTCTTTGAAAAGTATCTGTAACTTAACTTTCATATTGTGTGTGTGTGTGTATACGTGATCATTTCTGTTCCTCTGGGACAAACATTTATAATGTCTGTTAGATGGATGATGCTGAGAAGCCAAAGAGTAGACCTCCTGCTCGGCTAGAGTCACTGAAAATTCACAAAGAACAAGAAGTCACCAGAAAGGAAGACATTGAGATGAAGATGAGACAGGTGGAGGAGAGGAGAAAGGTGAAGCAGAACCAAATGACATTGATCATTCATTCAGTTTTAATGCATTTCAAATCTCTTAATTAAAAAAATCTTATTTGATGGAGTTTTTGCACTTTTTTTTGTGCAGTTAGATTGAATTAGCATTAGTATTTTATATGAAATATGGTTAAAACATCTGTTTTAGGAGAAGGAGGAAGACCTGAAACGCAGGTTGAGGATTAAATCAGCACGGCCGAGTTTCGCTGCCCCAGTGACCGCAGACGGGGAACTCGACCCCTTGGAACTGCTCCATTCCGAACAGCTTCCTGTCCCAACCAGAACCAAACAGCTGCAATCAATGGAGCCAGTCAATGGAGAGTCTGAGGACCAAAGACTTAATGATTCCCCAGAACTGGAAAATGACTCCACCTTCCAACAGACTGAAGACACAGATGAGGGATTTTAAACCTGCTGCTTATGTGTGTTTCAGAATGACACATGCAGGATAACCTGCCTCCATACATACAGAAGCAGCTTGATCTAGTGATGTTTCCTAATGTACATTCTTAGAGTTGCACATGCACTTTACATGTTATTCACTTGATTAATCTTGTTTATTTTAATGCAGGGTATGGCTCAGATCAAATTCTGACTTTGGGTTTTACATTATCATGGACGTATGTGCCTAATAAGTGTAAACAGGTTGATGCAGTCATTATGTAGGTAGCAGAACAATGATTTGAAGGGTTAACAATTCAGCATGATATATACTATATGCAAGTTGCCAATGAGATATCTTTCATACTTGAATTTTAAGAACATTATTCTTTCTCAAAAGTTTGGGGCCAGTAAGATTTTTAATTGTTTTTTGTATAAGAGTCTCTTGTACTCACCAAGGCTGCATTTATTTGATCAAAAATACAGTAAAATATTGTAAACATATAATTACAAATAATCATTTTAAATAACTGTTTCTGTCTTATTCTTTCATATTTTAAAGCGTAATTTATTCCTGTGATGACAAAACTGAATTTTTAGTAGCCATTACTCAAATCTTCAGTGTCACATAATCACACAAATCCTTCAGAAATCATTCTAATATGCTGAATTAATATTTTATTTTTTTGCTGAAGTATCATGTCCTATTATTATCCACGTTGAAAACAGTTGTTCTGCTTAATCTTTTTGTGGAAGTCATGATACATTTTCCCTAGGATTTTTAGACGAATAGAGAGTTCGAAAGAACATAATTTACTTGAAATAGAAATCTTTTATAACATTATAAATATCTATACAGTGTAATTTTAAATCAATGTAATGCATCCATGCTTAATGAAAGTATTAATTTCTTACTAACCCCAAACTTTTATGTACAGTTTATCATGTAAACTACTTTTATATGCAATCAATTATTACAATAATCTGTGAGATATTTTGTCTAAAAATCAATATATTCTTTTAAACACTCAGTTGCTATTGTGTACCTTCCACTGAAGGGAAATGGCTGTCCACAAGGTGGCGCTACTTAGCTAATGTAGTTGGGCTGAAACGGAATTGTTTTGTCTTGGGGACAGTGGAAATCCGAGATGGCTCTATGGTGTTTTCCTTGCATGTTAGTATGTCTCTTTGTAATTATGATGGTGTAACTATGCTAAGAAACTAGACCTCTTGCAATTAGCTAATTATATAAAACTAGATGCTTTTAAAAAACGTGTTGTCATCTTTTGAGAGTGTGTGTGTGTGTGGGCTGTTACAGCTGCCAGTGATTTGTCTGCCTGCACTGACATTCCGACAGGTCCCACCTGTTACACTTGAAAATGCCCCCTCTATCAATGCAGTAATGCCTCACCATTCAAGCTGGCTCTTGTCATACAGGATTTTATGATACCATATGAAAATTAGCCTCACAGACCCAAACATTAAAACATATGTACCGCACAACTAGATTTCACCTGACTTTGTCCAAATAAATGAAGCATACGGTTATAGAGTTTTCAACCCTAACCTTTTATGACTTGTATGTGTGGCTTTCAAAGCCGTTCAGCTGTTCGCTAGAACCAGTGACCTCTGAAGGCCGTAAATGTGTGTTTGTATGAGTGAGGGACTGTGTTTGACAGGTGGATTGTGTTGAGGGCTCTCCAAAATCTCTCGTTCTTTTCATTTGCCCTACAAAATAGCGTTAGGTCTATTATAAACCATTCCCTCTGTGTAAGCCCAACTTGAAAAGGAGAAGAACTAACAAGACAGGTTTTATCCATTAACTTTATGGAATATTCTGGGTTCAAGAATAAGTTTCAATCAATAAATGTTAATGTTTCAATAGTATAACCACAAGACGTAAATAATATGTGTGTTAATCAGGGTTATTATAGTAAACCTAAACTATTAAAATATTTTCATTACTTGAATGTTAACTGAAATAAAATTTTAAAACTTAAACTTGTTTTATTTCAGCTAGTTTCCAAGGCAACATTTCTTATTTAACTTAATGTACTAAAATAACTAAACTAAAACTGAAATAAATATGAATAAAAACCTATTTAGACATATTTGAAAAAAAAACCTAATCAAATAATGTAAAACTAATAAAAACAACTGTAAAAATGACAATCCCAACTTTACAGTTCAAAGTTTTAACATAAAAATGAATGTAAGTTGTTCTATAAAATTATGAGCTTCACATTTCTGCTTTCAAATCCTTGAAATTGGGCCCTTTGACTTCTATTGTAAATACATTGCAGAACCTTTGATTTTTGCTTTTTATTTTAAAGATCAGGGTTATTATAGTAAACCTAAACTATTAAAATATTTTCATTACTTGAAAGTTAACTGAAAAAAAATTTTAAAACTTAAACTTGTTTTATTTCAGCTAGTTTCCAAGGCAACATTTCTTATTTAACTTAATGTACTAAAATAACTAAACTAAAACTGAAATAAATATGAATAAAAACCTATTTAGACATATTTGAAAAAAAAACCTAATCAAATAATGTAAAACTAATAAAAACAACTGTAAAAATGACAATCCCAACTTTACAGTTCAAAGTTTTAACATAAAAATGAATGTAAGTTGTTCTATAAAATTATGAGCTTCACATTTCTGCTTTCAAATCCTTAAAATTGGGCCCTTTGACTTCTATTGTAAATACATTGCAGAACCTTTGATTTTTGCTTTTTATTTTAAAGAAAAAAAAAGGCATTAGTCAAAATTATTTTGGTGGTAATCATCATCAATTGAACTCAGACTATTTCTTTCATTGGAAAGTTTATGAAATTGATTGCCAATTAAGTTATGCAGTGGGTGCCCATAAAACTGTAGCCTACAGAAAAAAAAATCAAGTCAATGTCTTGTAAGCGTAGACAGCTCCTGAAAGAAGATAGGCCTCCTTTTGTAACTGTGCTGAAACACAAAGCCATCTCCCTCACTGCGCCTCCACTCGCAGCTTAATGAGCTTGTGGCCCGGCATGAATAAATTAGTTGATTCATGGATGCTCTCGATCGAGTTCCTACCTAACATTTTTTATATAAAGCCTCAATTATCCATCCACGGGTGTCAGGATCTCCACATGGCTTGGCGGGTCACACCACACAGGCTAGTTCTCGGGTTGCAAGCTTCCACAAAAACTCCATCACCCGAGTGCTTTGGAAGTTGTATGGTCTAAATGAGAAGGCAGTTTAATAATTTACCTGGTGACATATCACGTTCCTCCCAATTATATGGAGACCTAGAAAACCGTCTGTTCTTTTTGTCCTAAAGGAGATTGGGATGGTATGACATTAGCAGTTGTAATTGTTGCAAAGATGTGCCTTTCACATAGTTCAAAGAAATGTTAGAATGCTATACTATACTTTTAATTAATTATGAACTGATTTTAATTTGATGTTGCAATAAATAGCAGTGGTGTCCTGAAGTATGAAGTAGAGACTTATGCATATTTCTACAAATTCATGTTACAAAAAAGTTATTAAAGATGCTGAAATGACTGAACACAAAATAGAAAAATGTAACAAAATACAATATTAAATGTTTTATATTGATAAAAATGGTAATCAGAAATGCACAAAGAAGTGTGAAAAGAAATGAAAGGTGTTGACAACGCAAAATGAGTGCCTTTATGCTGCAAATACTCATTGAGGGACGCAGGAAACATGCCCAGACGCTCACTCTGTTTTTAGTTTCAATGAAACAGCATTTGAAACGCGTCCATTCTCCAGTTCCTCACCTGAAGAACTCTTTTAACTCTCTTACCCACCACCTGCCAAGTTGTCCCAACGGACAAGATCAGCCTGATAAGATATGCTGGGTTTGCTTCTGTGCTTATCTACAGATAGCTATGTCTATTAGTGACCAAGTGTGAAAGGTGTGTGTTGGAAACGTTTTGTTTTTGTTAGCAACATTTTGCAACATTTTAAATACTTTGCTCTAAGTTCATGAAATCGCATTCCATTCCATGGGCCATACTGATTTTTTGATTCAGCCATATTGTCGGTTTGCCATTTTGACATAAAAAGCTATATGTTAGCGAGTTAAAATGCTATATTCATATCAAGCTGGCGCGGGGTTAGTGTCAGCAACACTATGCCCTGAAGGAGCCAAAATACATTTTACAGGACAAAATACATTTTAAATCCTAAATACATTGATATATTTTACATACATACAACATATATATATATTCAGAATTTAAAAAATGACAAATGGTTTCATTTTTCATAAAATTTAGTTAGTCATTCTTTTGTTATTTTCTTATGCACTGGGTCATATGGAGTGCAGTGTTAACCCAATTTGTGTCAGCCATTACAGCCATTGCCTTTTTGAATTGAGCAATTAAGTTTAGCCTATTTGTAACAGATCTGGCGCTGTCATGCTTAGTTTTTGCCTGAAGCCATATTTTTGTTAGATCTCAAAACTGCCAATGTTTCCTGCTGGGGAAAACAACTTAAACAAGCATAAGCTGGTTTAACCGAGCACAGTTTGTTTGTCTTCCATTCTGGTCTGTAGGCTGGTTTCATAGGGTTTTCAGACAGTATTCAGATGGTCTTAAAGAGTTTTAGGGCATTTTTCAGCTGGTTTGGTTGGGAGAACAGCTTGCTTACAAGCTTGGCAAGGCTGGGAGACCCGTTTAAACCTAAAACCATATGGTTGGTTTAATCTGGCTTTTAAAGCAAGGTTACTGTTAGAAAAGCGTGGCGTTTGGAGTATTTTTCCCGTCACACACAAATGTACATGCATTTACTGAAACAACAACTGTATGAAATGTCTACAGTTCTTGAACAAAGGCACACAGACGCCCGTTGTGCGCCGTCCAGCTGTTGTTCAAGCGCGTGTAGTGGGCGTGGGGTCAAGCGTGCTCGTACCGCCCTCAAAGTGATCTGGGTGTGGTTTAACCGGGTGCTTTTAGGAATGGGTCACACGCACTTTTTAGAAGTCACGTCAGTTTGGAAGAGGAGTTCGACCCACCTGATGATCCTTGGCTCAATCCGCTCCACATTAATCTACCTCTGACATTAAACCCATCTGCGCGCGTGCGTTTTATATTTCTCAGCAATCGCTTCTTGTAACTTCTAGTGAATATTTTAACGGAATATTAGAGGAGTCTTACGGTCATTATCAGTCCTAAATTGCACTATCGTCTTTCCCTTTTTTATTTTTTTGCACTTGAGCATTTTTTGTGAGGATGCATAGCACCCAAAAGGACACCACTTATACCAAGATATTTGTCGGTGGTCTTCCGTATCATACGACGGATTCCAGTCTAAGGAAATATTTTGAAGTGTTTGGCGAAATAGAAGAAGCGGTGGTGATTACCGACAGACAGACTGGAAAGTCCAGGGGTTATGGA